CATTTTTCATAATGCCTAAAAAAGTAAATAAATATGTGAGAAAAAGTTTTGCCCCAGTAAGAGAGCTCTGTGTTTCACACTATAGTGTGACAGGTGGGAACCATCCTGATGAGTTAGGAAAGTGACAGTGGGAGGACAAACATTTCCCAGGCACAAAAACAAATCTCAAATTAACTGGTACTAAAGATGCCCTTTGATACAAACTGATAGCTGTGAGATTTAAAATCACAGCCCTATTTGTTTTGAATAGAATAGACAAAGAAGCAGCACGCCCTGTCTTCGAGTATGATATCTCAATCTCAGAGCTGCAGCTGGCATCCCTCAACATCATTGTTCTCCAGATGGAGTCTTCGAGATTCCCACATGAACACTGAAGAGATATCTAAACCAAAACAAACATGTGCAGGCCAAATTTTCTCTGCGCCGGATGCCTGGTAAACTCAAACCCTGACCTGAAAGGTGGATAGACAGAAACCAATCTTTGGCATCTTTGTTAAATTTGCAGGCTGTTTGTTGACCCAAAACAAACTGATTTCCCCCCACAGGGCTTTATCTGACGAGTTAGCGAATGACATCACCTTAGCTACACAGAGAAAAAGATGGGCTAATGGCGAAACAGGCCATTGCAGTGAGCTGGCTGATTAACCCACAGACTGCTTCCCTTTCAGCCAGGCCTGTCACCATTACTTCCTGTTGCTCACTATCTTAATCAAACACTTGATTCCCGACAGGAAAGTGTGTTATTGGCTTGGGGAAAAAACAAATAAAATAAAACACCTGAAATGCCAACCTTTTGTTAAAAAAAATAACCATGAGTATTTGTGTCAGTTTGTACGTGTTTGTGTAAAGTGTTCTTATAGCAACAACTCTCTGAAAAATTAAATTGATGCAATAGTTTTGATTTTCAAAGAGAATGTAGTTGAATATGGGGAGCCTATTGTTTTTGCTTTCTTGCAATTTGATAACTGTCTTTGAGGATTGAAAACAAAAATAAACTTGTCAAACAAATAAAACAAAATCTGGACACAAAACAACAAAAGAATAAGACATCAGTGTCAATTAAAAAAACTCTTATTGAACAGAACACTCACCTACTGACTAAGGGTAAGACATATGTTTTTCTAGTGATTTAAGTGGCGGATCTACAGGGGGCGGGGGGGGGGGCAACTGCCCCCTTGTTGTAGAGTCTTACCCCCCCAGATGTCCCCCCAGCAGCCCCCCTACTTTTATGTTTCTAAAATATTTGTAATTACTAACTGTTTTTTAGTCCAAAAGCCCATTACAACCTTTGAAATTAATATTTATTTACCTAAAATATATAATTTTAAATATAAGCTGAGGCCTGTGAGAGGCTTACTTATGGCACTGCATTAAAATACTCCCTGCCACTCCGCAGGTGGAATGCGTGTTGATGAGGCAGTCTATCTGCTGCAGAGTGGATCACTGAGCTTCTAACTTTCTGCAGTTAGTTTCTCTAACTGATGTTTTAACACACAGCAGTAAAGATAAGTTTGCAGTGAATGAAATATCTGCTAAAGTGTCCGACGTTTACGGTGTAATGACGAAAGTGCAAGCATTAGCTTATTTCCATTGTTAGTTTTGTTTACAATAAGCAAGTAACAGTTAATGAAAAAATTTGATATAAAAATAAGGTTTCAGGTTTGCTTTTTAGGGGCTGCAGTGTCACTGCTGCCTTTATTTCATCGATATCATGGCAATGAGGCACAATTAAACCACGTTACATTTGTGTTGTCATATTAACTAAGTAAATAAGCTGCTATGATAATGATATGATTAGCTATGATAATAATGGGCTATTTTTAAAATCTTGATGCTTGCACATTGCATACCAAAATGAAAAATAAATTTTAAAGTAGAGATATTGACAGTTATTTTTATTTTATTTTATTCAAAAACGCAAGGGATGGCAAGGAAGAAGAAACTGAGAGTTGAGAAAGGAAGATAGCGACCAGGGGTCAGATTTATAAAGCTTGCGTATGCACAAAATGAGCCCAGAAACTTGCGTACGCCACTTTTCACGCCAAGGTTGTGATTTATAAAATCCAACCTTGATGTGAAAATGTGCGGTGCCTCACGCCAGATCTGACCCATGCGTACGCTCATTTTGGAGACGGCAAGCAGCGACACAGATGGTGAAGTGAGGAATTAGAGCCACACTGTGTAATGATCACTGTCAGATATTTAATTTCACTTCATAAGCAGACTTAGATTTCAGATAGACGTTAGCTTTCTTAAGTATTATTTATGCTTCTGCTGCTGAGCCATAAGGATCTTTGAAATAAAAAACTTAAATCTTAAATAAAAGTTCACACATCTCCATGCATCTCCTTCCTCCTCATGACCTGACCCACAGACCTCTCCTCGACAAAAGATATTTCAACAGCACAACAGCAAAAAGCTTGGTTATAGTCATGCTTTGGGTGCGCGTGCTCTTGCCAGTGTGGATGTGTTATAAAAGATTCACTTTTTCATGTCCGTATTTCTCACTCACATGCGGGGTGGGGTGGGGGTTAGGAGACGGTCAGCCGCAGATTACAGCAAGTAGGAGGGGGAGGACAGGGGAGAAGAGCGGTGAACTTAAATTTATCTGACTTATTTAATTTTATTTATTGTTTTATTGTCCTGCAGGCTCTGACAGAAAATTTGTTTGAAGCTGAGTTTTAGATAAAAATCATTAGATTGCTCTAAACATCTGTAAAACCTGCAAAATGAGGAAAAAGCTGTGTAAATTACAGACATTCTGTTCAGTTGGGCAGTTGTCAGTCAGCACCTGTCATCCACCAGAAGCACAACTGAACGCGTCTGAGCCAATCACTATTTTGATATTGATCAGCTGACTGATTTAAATACACCTTAACATTCATGAGGCACCTTGCATTGACTGTTTATGGTTGAGTGTGGGCGTGTAGAGGACAGAATCTGAGGCGGGACCTTGTGCGCAAACTCTGAGGTGTGGCTGTGATCTAAAAAGGAAAGGTACGCAGAAACATGCGTACGCACGGTTTTAGAAATCTGAATGTTTTTTTGGCGTACGCCATTTTCACCTTTTGGCCGTACATTCACTTTTAGTATAGTTTCCACGCAATCTTTTATAAATCTGACCCCTGGAGCTTCACAGGTGAAAAAGATGAGGAAAGTGATGTCAGCATAAGTAGTGAAGAAGAAAAGATTTCAGAGTCAGAGAGAAAGAGAAAAAAGACAGTGAAGAGAAAACCGAAGGAGAAAAAGAAGGCACAGAGTCAGAGAATCCAGCCTAAATTCCAGCTGGACCACCTTGTATGTTTGTAGTACAAATATGTTAGATGTTTCAATGAATAACACATTATCTTTACAAGTCTATAGGTGTGTTATGATATTAGATGTCCCAGACTTAATAAATATAGTCAATTCATGTTCAAATTTTAGTTAACTAAAATAAAAATAAGTGTGTGTGTGTGTGGGGGGGTGGCCTTGGTTTTCCTACATCGTGGGGCCCAGTTTTAAGGAAAATGCAGCCTCGTGGGGACCGGGTGCTCTTTGTGGGGCCCAAAGCCTGGGCCCCACAACTTCAGAGGCTGATTTTGGGTGTGGGGGTTGGGTTTAGGACCAAGGTGTGAATTGAGTTTAGGTTAGTTTTAGGGTCAGGTAGGTACCTGTGAGGTTAGCCTTAGGGTTTGTGGTCAGGGTTAGGATATAAAATTACCAAAAATTGAATGGGAGTCAATGCACGGGCCCCACAATGATATAAAAGCGTGTGTGTGTGTGTGTGTGTGTGTGTGTGTGTGTGTGTGTGTGTGTGTGTGTGTGTGTG